TAAAAGAATAGAAAGTCTGACACAGATGTAGGAGGTCCACTCTGGCATAAACTCTTACAATGGTTGTCATAAACAATGTTCTAGAGACTTAGAATATTCTACCAAATGCGTGAGATCTTGGATTTACACTGGAAAACATGCATATAGATCAAATACAGTCTGATATGCTCAGATGTGAATATTAGGGGGTAGTGATACTGGCTCAGCAAAAGCATATATATATAAGAGAATGGTTATGAATGATAGAAGATAAAGAGAAGGAATTTTCCCAGAATATTAAGCAAAAAGACAAAAATGTAAAAATATAACAAAAAATACATCAAGAAATAAGGACAAGTCCAGAAAATCCAAGAACTATTTAAAATCAGTTATAAAAAGAGAAATCCAGGGCAATAAATAAATAAAGAAGAGAAAGGCTTCGAAATAAGACAATTTTCTTGAGCTTAAACACACATATATACATCCACACACACATGAACACACACACACTTAAGCTTTCATTTCAAAATGCTATTTGAGTGCCAGGCACAAAGAGTAAAGACCCACACTTAGAAATATTCTCATAAAGTTTTATAAATTCAAATACAAAGAGAAAATCTAAAATTTGTGAAGAGGGGGCAGATTTCTTTACATAATGCTGTATGCTTAATGTATGCATGATGCTCTGAATGCCTCAAAAAATGTCACAATTCTTTTGAGATTCCTAGGGAAATTATTTTGAACCTGTATTTCTATTATCAGTTAATTATAAATCAAGGCATTTTCTGATATGCAAAAAATTAAAAACCTTGCTCCCACATATACTCTTTTTCACAAAAATTACTTGCATATGTATTTCTATAAAAATATGCCACAGTGAAAGCATATGTCTCTTCTGTCAATAAACAAAAAAAAGGAGAGCAGTTAGGAACTCAGAAAAAGAAATAAAATGCTTTATCAAAAAGTCATTCAAGTATGAATAAAATTATAATGTAGCATGATTTCAAGTTATTGCCTGAGTTTAAGAAAAGAGATGCCACTTTTCCTTGATATTTGGAACACTTTCCATTAAATGTCACATGTTTAATGACACAGGATTACATTTTCCTCGTTTAGAGTAAAATCAGACTACTTAGTTCTTCAGTGAATAACATGTATCTAATAATAAAACTGTGAATGCTATTTGAGGATATTTAGCTTTTACAATTGACTTATATACAGCACTAGAAGATTAATTGTAGTTATAGGCCAAAAAAGTGAATGTTTTAAAATCTTAATAGTATAAAAGTAATACAGAAGTCCAGAGGTCTGAGTTGAGAAACAGAGTCAGCTGGAGCCTGGCAATGACATTTATTTAACTAAGTTCCACCCTCCTTGGCAATGAATAAAGACAGTCAAGAGTAGATCCAAGACATCAGGAAGCCCTATCAATAGGTATTTGAAAGTATAAAAATGTCATTACAGATAATAACTTGTTATACCTCTAATGCTCCCATCCATTCCCAAGACTCTTCCATGACCTCACTCCCTTTTCCTTTTTCTCATAGTCTCTAGTAAACAATGGAAAATAATTTGCAATTCCCAGATTTCATAACAGTTTCCCACCGTACAAGCAAGTCCATACTTAGCTTCCATAATGAATCTCAAACATATTATGAGCCTTATTTACCCATAAAGTACACTCTTGACTCTAATGAACAGGATCAATTTTTAGGTTCATTAGTGCATTATTTATTTGCAACTCTAGAATTTGTAACAGACAAACCTTGTAATCTCATAGGCTTAACAGATAGATTTATTTTTTGTCCAGCAGGGAGTGATAGCATAGACAGTTCAGCATCATTACGGAACCTAAACCAGCAGAGACTCTGCCATCTTTTGACAGCTTTGGAGTAGATGAACAGCCAGTAGACAGTATTAATATGCGAGAGAATAAAGGGTTGTATGGCCATTACATGGGACAGAATTAAAATGGGATTCATCACTTTTGTCTGCATTTCATTGGCCAAGATATTATCATATGTACACACTTATTTGCAAGGGAATCTGGGAAATACAATCTAGCTCATTGTCAAGGATGGTGGGGCCACTGGTCTGGTAAACAGCCAGCTACACTTAAACTGTCATTTAAAGTTTTAAGGACAAAAATTCTGAAATGTTTACCGTGTGATTAACCATTGGCTAAGCCCTGTCTCATCATTTACTTTGCAAGTAGCTCTAGAATAGGAAATGTGGCTTAAATATCTTTGCTTTCTTAGCACCTTCTCTTGCACAAGAGGTGTTTGAAAAAATCTTGAAGGAATTAATTTAATTATATTCTAGTAGCAAAAGCAAATTAATGCAGCTACTAGAGTGAAAAATAACCTCCTTCCTCAATGAAAAGATCAAGCCAAGTATTTGTGAACCGATCATATTTTTATTAAAGTAACTACAATACAATAAACCCATAATTGGTTATTCCAAATAATAGCCGAGTTTGTGAATTTCAATATTTGTTTTATTATTGAATGCAAAAGCAATGATAAAGACTGCATATAAAACACAAGCATTCTCTAATTTTTCTTAAGAGAACAAAAACATACAGAAAGTGTTTAATACTACAATGAATTGGCAACTTCCTAATTTGATAGAAAAGAAGAAATATTTATCAGGTGATGTTTACACATGGTAAAAATTCATTAAAGTAATAGACTCAAATCCCATAAATCAACCAAATAAGCCTTAAACTATAGCAGATATTATAAGTTAACCTCAATTTTCAGTTCACAGCATTCAATGAATGAGTGAAAGAAGGATAGTAGCTGATAGAGTCAAAGTTCAAATATAGGAAAAAGAAATTCTTTAAAAAAAAGAGGCAGAGTTTGTGACTCAAACTGGTGAGAAATATACAAGAGAGATCCCAAAAAAATTCATCATTTTCCACAGTTTAATTATGAGCCATTACTATATTTATTAAAAATAACCAAAGAAGAAGAAGAGGAAAAATGTGACATGAAGAAGTATGTGAGTACCAAAAATTATGTTTGATAGATCTGTAAAACAAACACCGTTTATCAGACTGAGATTACTTAAACATGAACAGGATGAAGCAAATATCAAGTGTGGGTTAGGGAGTGCACCATTTTAAACTGAGTTTGTGAGAGTTTACTATCAGAGAAGACCTTACGTGTTCTCAGCAAATGTGCACCCACGTGTGCACACACACACACATGGAATGTGTGATGTGATGGATGTAATTTGGTTGTAATAATCTTTTCACAATATATACATATATCAAACCATTGTATTGTACACTTTAAAAATATACAACTTCTATTTGTCAACTGTTCCTCAAAAAATCTGGGGGAAAATCTGTGGTGGTGGAGGGGCATAGTTGTAAAGATAAGGTCTAGAACGAGATCATGGGGTGAGTGGCTGAGAGAAGAGTTAGGACCATATGACTTGGGGGAGAAGCCAGTTGACTGAAAGGATTACATACACAAGTAAACCATTTATCAAGAAGGATGACAGCAATGGTGCTAAGAGACTGACAGTAATTCAGGAGCCAAAACTTGCTAGACACAAGGACCCAGGGCTCAGCAGATAACCACAACATAGAGAGGCAGGGTGTGGGCAACAGACTGTGAGGACATGAGATACAAAGCTTGGTTTTCTTTTGATGGAAGGGTCAAAACAGTTTGCAAACAGCAATGAAAATACAAAGAGGTAGGAAAGGTGAGAGAAACAGACACCAAATAATGGAGCTGCAAGGCAAGAAGTATCTTCCGGGAAAAGCCAGGAAAATATAATAGACTTTGCTAATGATAGTCTATTGTGTTTCCTCCATAATAAGAGCTTTTCATGAGTTGGCCCAATGTCTTCACAAAATGATGCCTCATGATGGCTTCCTTGACTGAGCAGTAGCATTCAAAAGTGCTAAAAAAGCAAAAACTGCTTTGTGTTTTTGTTCTGTTCTCATGTGCTTCATACTCTGAGGAAGAGAAACTGTGAGAAATTTGAAGCCTAAACATTCAGCCTTATTAGCCCAGAGAAAGACCCCTGCACTTCATGGGTCAACTGTAATATATAACTTCTTAATTTAATTTGCTTTTGTTTTATATTTGAGAAGTGCTTAGTCTGTTAAAATGGAAGCTTGAAGCTCCAGTAGTGCTCAGGCCATTCAATGATGAAAGCTGAATAGATCAGCACACTGGCTGTATAGCTAGACCAAGGTTTTAAATCTTAAGGCAGATTTCCTTAGGATTTCAGAATGATGCTCACATTTATACATTTGATATGTGCTATAGTTTGCATTGTTAAAAAAGAAATCTCATTTGGGGATTAGAAAAGTACACAACTCATTACTTTTCTTTAATTCCATAAACTCTATTAAATAATAATAATCAGAACTTTTTTTTTTAGAAAATTATCCCAAAGAGAAATTCAGGCATTCTTTGAAACATGAGGTATTTGATAAACTGAGACCATATCCATTTATTTAGAATTAAGACCTTCAGGTTTTATGACCACATATAAGAGAAATGCATTTTATGTTTTAACCCAGTATAAATACATATTTTAAAAGGCATATATTACATACATAAAATAAAATTTTCATGGAAAAATACCTGTTCTTGAACATCAAAACACTCTCACGTTTTTATTCTATTTCCTATTTTAAATGCTCATCATGGCTTGTTAAACTAACTTCATGACCCACTCACTGGCCACAAAAAACAGTTTGAAAAAACTTATTTTTAAGTGGAAATGTAGAATTGTCTTGGGCTTCCCAGGTGGCACTAGTGGTAAGGAACCCACCTGACAATGCAAGAGATGTGAGAGACATGGGCACCATCCCTGGGTGGGAAGGTCTCCTGGAGAAGGGCATGGCAACACACTCCAGTATTCTTGTCTGGAGAATCCCATGGACAGAGGAGCCTGGAGGGCTATAGTTCATAGGGTTGTAAAAACATGACCGAAGTGACTTAGCATGCAGCACACATGTGTAATTGTTTTCCTCTTTTTTTTTTTTCCTATCAAAGGAAGAATGTTTATTTCTTCAGTCTCTGAATGGAACAAATACCTTCACCTTTAAAAAAAAATCAATAATCAGCATAAGAAGAAAACTACAACAGTCATAACAGTTAACATTTAATAAATTCTGGGCTAAGAGCTAAATTCTTTGTATTCATTATCTTATTTAACCATTACTGCTGTTATGCTAGATACATTTTCCAAGGTATCATCACTATTGTACAATAATGGAATTGAGGATTTTAACCATACATTACACTATGGTCCACACAGCCCTGTTTTCCTTATCACAATTTGCTGGCTACTAATGGACATAATAGGGAACAAGACAGTACAGTTACCTTTGAGGATATCTATTCACACTATGGTTATCCTTCTGCATAAACTACAGTTAAAAGACCATACAATATATGTCACATTTCCCATGTTTATTATCTTTGCAACTCAACTTCTTAAGATTGTACAGCTTGAACTTCAGAAAACTCACAAATAGCTCTCAGTATTCTGATGTTTTTCTCTGTTTCTAATTTCTGTTCTCTGATATCAGATGGCTTCCATCTCCTCAAAACACTGCTGCTGCTTATCTAATTTAACATTGTTAGTGGCAGCCAGAGAAACTCTGAGATAGAGCCATTTCATCAATTATCTCCAGCTGGAAGGATTTAGTGCTTTCTTAAATAGGGCCACAATATCAAGTTCATCTACACTATTAGTGAGGTCTTTATCACTGCCAAGTTCAGAAACTGCTAAAGTACTTAAAATGTTTTTGCCTTTGTGTTTTGGGTGCAGTTCATTTTCTCACCTTTTCAGAGCTTGGGTGTCATCTCCAAGAGAACTACCATTCAAAATCAAGTCAAGGCAGAACTGTGGAATGAATATACCTTAGGTCAAGCTAAGAGTTAACCAGTACTTACTAATTCCCCTGTGTTCAAAACTCTGTATGAGAATCTGTCAGTCAGTCAGTTTAGTTGCTCAGTCATGTCTGACTCTTTGTGACCCCATGGACTGCAGCACGCGAGGCTTCCCTGTCCATTACCAACTCCCGGAGCTTACTCAAACTCATGTCCATTGAGTCAGTGATGGCATCCAACCATCTCATCCTCTGTCATCCCCTTTTCCTCCCGCCTTCAATCTTTCCCAGCATCAGGGTCTTTTCAAATCAGTCAGTTTTTCACATCAGGCAGCCAAAGTATTGGAGTTCAGCTTCAACATCAGTCCTTCCAATGAACACCTAGGACTCATCTCCTTTAGGATGGACTGGTTGGATCTCCTTGCAGTCCAAGGGACTCTCAAGAGTCTTCTCCAACAGCACAGTTCAAAAGCATCAATTTTTCAGTGCTCAGCTTTCTTTATAGCCCAACTCTCACACCCATACATGACCACTGGAAAAACCATAGCTTTGACAAGATGGACATTTGTTGGCAAAGTAATGTCTCTGCTTTTTAATAGGCTGTCTAGGTTGGTCATAGCTTTTCTTACAAGGAGCAAGCATCTTTTAATCTCATGGCTGCGGCCACCATCTATAGTGATTTTAGAGCCCAAGAAAATAGTCTCTCGCTTTTTCCAATGTTTCCCCATCTATTTGCCATGAAGTGATGGAACCAGAAGCCATGACCTGACCTGCCTCCTGAGAGATCTGTATGCAGATCAAAAAGTAACAATTAGAACTGGACATGGAACAACAGACTGGTTCTAAATGGGGAAAGGAGTACATCAAGGCTGTATGTTGTCACACTGCTTATTCAACATATATGCAGAGTACATCATGAGCACAGCTGGCTGGAATCAAGATTGCCAGGAGAAATATCAATAATCTGAGATATGCAGATGACATCACCCTTATGGCACAAAGTGAAGAAGAACTAAAGAGCCTCTTGATAAAAGTGAAAGAAGAGAGTGAAAATGTTGGCTTAAAACTCAAAATTCAAAAAAAACAAAGATCATGGCATCCAGTCCCATCACTTCATAGCAAATAGATGGGGAAACAATGGAAACAGTGACAGACTTTATTTTCTTGGGCTCCAAAATCACTGCGGATGGTGACTGCAGCCATGAAATTAAAAGATGCCTGCTCCTTGGAAGAAAATCTATGACCAACATAGCATATTAGAAAACAGAGACATTACTTTGCCAACAAAAGTCCATATAATCAAAACTATGGTTTTTCCAGTAGTTATGTGTGGAGGTGACAGTTGGACCATAAAGAAAGCTGAGCACCGAAGAATTGATGCTTTGAGCTGTGATATTGGAGAAGACTTGACAGTCCCTTGGACTGCAAGGAGATCCAACCAGTCCATCCTAAAGGAAATCAGTCCTGTACATTCATTGGAAGGACTGATGCTGAAGCTAAAACTTCAATACTTTGGCTACCTGATGTGAAAAACTGACTCATTTGAAAAGACCCTGATGCTAAGAAAGATTGAAGGTGGGAGGAGAAAAGGATGCCAGAGGATGAGATGATTGGATGGTATCACCAACTCAATGGACATGAGTTTGAGCAAGTTCTGGGAGTTGGTGATGGACAGGGAAGCCTGGCCTGCTGCAGTCCATAAGGTCACAAAGAGTCGGATGTGACTGAGTGACTGAACTGTACTGAAAGAGTTTCACACCAAGATACACTATAATGGAAGTGGCAAGAGTTAAAGAGCAAGAGACAATCCTAAAAGCATCAAGAAAAAAATCAACTTGTTACATATAAGTTATCCCCAATAAGACTATCATCAACAGATTTTTTTCAGCATAAACTTTGAAGGCCAGAAGGAATGGCACAAAATATTCAAAGTGCCAAAAGCATAAAAATTTCCAACCAACAATATTTCACCTTGTAAGGCTATCATTCGGAATGAAAGGACACATAAAAAATTTTCAAGATAAGCAGAAATTAAGAGACTTCACCATCACTAAACTGGACTTACAACAAATGTTGAAGGAACTTCTCTAAGCTTAAAAAAGGCACTACTTAGTAACAATAACCAGAAAAAGAACGAAAGTATAGATCTCACTGTTAACAGTACATATATAATAATGGTAGTGGGCTAATCAGTTATAAAGCTAATGCGAAGGTTAAATGAAAAAGTAGTTAAAAACAAAACAAAAATTAAAACTACGACAGTTAACAAAGGGGTACACAAAATTAGAAGATGTAAAATGTAACATCAAAGGCAAACAATATGGGAAGGGTAAAAATATGGATTTTTATAATGTCTTCAATCTCAACTTGCTATCAACTTAAAATAGACTGATATAACATATTGATATATGTGAGTTTAATGATAACCACAAAGCAAAAATGCATAGTAGAAACACAAAAAATAACAAGAATGGAATATAAGCATAACAGTAAAGAAATTTATCAAACTACACAGGGAGAGAGCAAGAAAAGAAGAAGGCAACACAAAATAACAGCAAAATAGCCAGAAAAAATAATCAACATAATGACAGTAAGTACTTATCTAAGATGTTTTATATAAATGGAAACCAAAAGAAAGCTTGAGTTGTTACACTTATACCAGACAAAATAAACCTTCAAATAATGATTACAATAAAAAATAAAGATACACATTACATGTAGAGGGGTGAATCCAAAAAGAAGACACATTTGTAAATAATATGCATGTAACCAACATAGGAGCACCTAAATATACAAAGCAAATATTAACAAACCTAAAGGGAGAAATCATTAGCAATACAATAATATTAGGGAACTTTGCTATCCCACTTACATCAATGAACAGATCATTCAGAAAATCAAAAGGAAATATTGACCTTAAATAATATATTAAACCAGGTATACTTCAGTTCAGTTCAGTTCAGTCACTCAGTCATGTACAACTCTTTGCGACCCCAAGAACCACAGCATGCCAGGCATCCCTATCCATCACCAACTCCTGGAGTTTACCGAAACTCATGTCCATTGAGTTGGTGATACCATCCGACCATCTCATCCTGTCGTCCCCTTCTCCACCTGCCCTCAATCTTTCCCAGGATCAGGGTCTTTTCAAATGAGTCAGCTCTCCATTTCAGCTTCAACATCAGTCCTTCCAGTGAACACACAGGACTGATCTCCTTTAGGATGGACTGGTTGGATCTCCTTGTAGTCCAAGGGACTCTCAAGAGTCTTCTCCAACACCACAGTTCAAAAGCATCAGTTCTTTGGTGCTCAGCTTTCTTTATAGTCTAAATCTCACATCCACAGTGATTACTGGAAAAACCATAGCCTTAACAAGATGGACCTTTGTTGGCAAAGTAATGTCTCTGCTTTTTAATATGCTGTCTAGGTTGGTCATAACTTTCCCTCCAAGGAGGAAGCATCTTTAAATTTCATGGCTGCATCAACATCTGCAGTGATTTTGGAGCCCAAAAAATAAAGTCAACGATTGTTTCCACTGTTTCCCCATTTATTTGCCATGAAGTGATGGGACCAGATGCCATAATCTTAGCTTTTTGAATTTTGAGTTTTAAGCCAACTTTTTCACTGTCTGCTTTCACTTTCATCAAGAGGCTCTTCGGTTCTTCTTCACTTTCTGCCATAAGGGTGATGTCATCTGCATATCTGAGGTTACTGATATTTCTCCAGAAATCTTGATTCCAGCTGTGCTTCTTCTAGCCCAGCATTTCTCATGATGTACTCTGCATAGAAGTTAAATAAGCAGGATGACAGTATACAGCCTTGACGTACTCCTTTCCTATTTGGAACCAGTCTGTTGTTCCATGTCCAGTTCTAACTGTTGCTTCCTGGCCTGCATACAGATTTCTCAAGAGGCATGTCAAGTGGCCTGGTATTCCCATCTCAGGATTTTCCACACTTTATTGTGATCCACACAGTCAAAGGCTTTGGCATAGTCAGTAAAGCAGAAATAGATGTTTTTCCGGAACTCTCTTGCTTTTTTGATGATCCAGAGAATGTTGGCAATTTGATCTCTTTTCCTCTGCCTTTTCTAAAACCAGCTTGAACATTGGAAGTTCACAGTTCATGTATTGCTGAAGCCTGGCTTGGAGAATTTTGAGCATTACTTTACTAGTGTGTGAGATAAGTGAAATTGTGCAGTAGTTTGAACATTCTTTGGCAATACCTTTCTTTGGGATTAGAATGAAAACTGACCTTTTCTAGTCCTGTGGTCACTGCTGAGTTTTCCAAATTTGCT